ATTAATATGTTAGGCGAAAATAATTCATCAGTTGTTTATCAAAATATTTCTTTGTGGACTTTAACTGATAATTGAAGATTCTAATTCAAGAATAATCTATTGAATAAGTGTAGAGTGTTCATAAATCTATATTCAATTCAATGTTGTTCTAGTATGTTCATTTTTATTGAAACGTAAAATTACTAACAAATTTGAAGAAAAACAATTTGAGAGTTGAAAATATTATATTATATTTAGGCTTTGTAGATTAAAAATAAGAATGAAGTATTTGATATTTAGAAAATAATGAATGACAGTATGTGATTAAACTAAACATTTATAATATAGATTATTATACAAGTAAAGGAATAATTTCAAACTGATATATTGTCGTTTTATATACATTTCTAAAACGAAATATTTAGTTGTATAATAAGTTGAGAAAACTTAGACGTTATTTTTTGCTCTTCACTTAATCATCCTTTAACGTTATAAGAATTATTGAATAGAAAACATTAGAGGGTAATAATTAAATGATTTCAATTTTTCTTTATTCTACAGTTTATTATAAGTTGTTAAATAGTCACGAAAGGATGAGGATAAATATTATATTAAATACTCAAGTCTACAAGCTCTATACTCATTTCATGAATGCTATTTCTATTAAAGAAAGTACTTTACATGTCTCTATTTTTACTATAATTTAATGTCAAATACAACAAAAAGATATTCAAATTTCTATATAACTAAATTAAATATTAAGATATAACTATTTATTCTAATATAACTTAAAATTGCATAAAAATGAATGAAAACAATCCACTTTTATCAGCTTTTATTATTTTTTGTTTTATGAAATAAATAAAAGTATTAGTGTACACAATCTAAAATGACATCACATCTTATTTTTCTTTCGAGCATTAATTATTACATTCACTTGAAGAATGTTTTATTTGTTACTGATTTAGTCTCCGATATTATCAATGTATTTTTCGATATCTCTATATCTAAATATTCAACATTGGCAATTATTTATAATTAATTTTTTTTTCTATAATTGTTCCACAGATTATCTATTTAGTTTGAAATGAACTCTAGATTAACGATCATATTCAATAGTGATTACAGTATCTGTGACTTTTTCTCAACTTAAAATGATCTATTAAATGAATCATGCTTATCACACTAAGTTTCGTAGATGAATAATAGTAAAGTTTTTGAAGATACATAAAAATTGTAGCAAGGAGATTGGTTTATGATAGACCCTCATTCCCATAGGAACATATATATCATTGGCAACGAGTTATTAGGTAAGATCGAAGACTGAGGTGGAAATGAATGAGAGTGAGACAAGTTTAAAACTGCGCATACTAAAGTTAGCGCTTTACTCTCATAGGATGTGATGTGGGTGGAAAGATAAGTTAAATCTACTAATATCTTCCATTTACTATCACTTCGTCGCCTTTCTATCAAAAACTCTCACCTACACCCTCTTTCTGTTTCTTAGAATTCTATAAGATTCACTCATAAAAGTTTTTCAGCGCATCTTTTGAAAAATATTCAAGAATTTGTTATTTATTTATATTAAAAATTGTTCAGAATATCTATTGTTACACTTATTATATCTTCTCCAATAAAATATATCCATCATTCATATAGAACTGTCTCTGATGTATTTTTTGATTTTTTTGGTATAAAAAAATATAATATATTTATCGAATATATTCTGACTACTAAGATATTTTATCGTGCGCGTGTCGAGAATAATCAGTAAAAAAAATATATCATCGTACAGGTGAGCAAACGTCATTAATTGACGATATATAATAATCTATTGCCTAATCTTACGTCAATACATATGCGAAATAATACATTATCAAATGAATATTATGGTCTTTAAATAAAAACAACTAGTGATTGGATAAATAAAGAAAAAAACAGCGTAGGAATATTTTTATTATTTACTGCTCCCCCCTCGTTTTGCTCATATATTAATGACTAGTAAAATATCGCTCTTACATAATTTATTATGTAGTATATATATAGATGTATACGCCTTAATCTTATGAGTATAAAAAGATATCATGTAATCATAAACAGTAAATAACGATTAACAATCGGTAAGAAATGTTTTTGTTTCCTATTCTAATACTCTATAGTTTAGCCAATATCTATTTGCTAAAATATGATATAACTACAAAAAAAAATCATGTTATACTCAATACTATATTTTTGTTTGTTTATTCTAGAAAGTTTGAATTATAAACAGGTACTGATGTTATCTTCAGGAAAGTTTCGATGGTTATGGCTGTATTTATTATTTGGACAATTGATGATATCATATGTCAAAACAGCATGGCCACCTTCCAATTCTTCAAACGTACAAGTATTGGGGATCTTTGAATATCTTACAAATATTACTGAATCTACTGTATGGTCAGTTCAATGTCGAGCAATGTTCATATCAGCTATATTACTCTCTCAACAATACAATATGACTATTCAAGGACAGAATATCAGCTGGCAAGCAGTAGAAACTGGTGGTGATCCAATGACTGCTCTTGCAGATACATGCCAAATAATTTCAACTTCAAATATCGGTGGCATTGTAGGATCAGGACTTTCAAGCGAATCGGTAGTTATTGCTCCTTTTGCTGCAAAAATCGGTATTCCTGTCGTATCATACGCATCAACTGATCCAGCATTATCTGATGGTATTGTTTATCCTACATTCTATCGTACAGTTCCATCAGATAATACAACTGCATTGGCAATGGCTCAACTTTTCATTCGGTTTAATTGGACATCATGTATCGTTATCTATCAGAATGATGAATATGGAACAGGTGGTGTACAAGCAATAACTGATATATTTAGTAATCAGAAGTTAATAGTTTCACAAATGATCATGTTTGATATTGTGACTCGCACTATTCGTGGTGACTTAAAAAGTCTTTTAAAAAATAGTTCAATACGAGTTATTATACTTTGGATGGACTCAGCATATTCATCTGTATTTATACAACATGCACTTGATTTAGATCTTCTTGGACCACAATTCACATGGATATTAACTACACCTATTTCATTAGATAGTTTTAATAGCACATCTTATACTAAGTTAAGTGGAATGATCACTGTTGAACCAGTTCCAGGTGGTGCTGTAAATGCTCCAATAAACACAACATTATTAAATGCAGCATATAGTA